AAAACTATACTGTCAAATAAAGATAAAGAAAATAAGAATGATTTCTTTGTTGTTGCTGTTTGATTAATATTAAGAAAGTGCTGTCACTTTAAGAAAATGCACTTTAAGATACGGTACGTTCAGCCGGCTATGTCTGCTATAGGATACTTACCAAGACGGGCATTTTGACATAAATTTTGTGTGAATTTGTCCATTTAGACACAATACTTCAGACTCAGAGAGAGCTTAATATTTGCGCGCGTTCTGAGGTGCGGGTTTGCGCGCTTCGGATGAGCGCACGCACAAATCTTCTCACTGCGTGCGCGAGCTCGCATCCTCTGGCTCTTAAATGTTTAAACTGGCAAAGCTGAAACAAGTTTAGCTTAAACACAGATATCAACGTGTTCTGTTCAGGTCTCACCTGTGCGCGCGCGCTATCAGCACCCAGGTGATGACGGAATAAATGCTCATATTCCAGCATAGGGCAGTCGCATTGAACAAGAGTGAATGGTTTGTCCAGGGTTTTTTTTTTTTTCATCGCTGTTGTTGTAATGTATTGGGAAGCCAGAATGCTCGTCCATCCACAGAAACATATATTAGCCGAACCCTGTTTGTTTTAAGTGTTATTTATAGCAAACCATGTTACAGATGCGTTGCCGTATTACCGTACGGTTCGATTTTTTTCCGCGAACCGTTCCATCCCTAGTTTATACGTTTGTATAAATTCATAGATTTAATTTATAGTTTTCTTGTATACCATTTACTATAGTTTCAAACCCATGCAGCCTAGTTTAATTTTAACTAATTTTTTATTTTTATTTATTTTTTTTTTATTTTACTTTTTATTTGAAACCACCAAAATGAGTTTACTCTATTTTTGATTCTCAGCCAGATGGTAAATCTTTATATGCTTTATATGCAAATTTATATGCAGTAAAAGATGCATATGCTTGCATACCTGCTTTTTATGCGTATGAGTGGAAGTGAATAGATTACAAACCTTTGTCTGACCTCCCCTAACCTGCCCTAAAAGGCTGGGCAACCTGTTGTGCGTTATGCAGGGCATCTTTTTCCAATTATTCCCATGTCATGGGATAATGATCCTGATTCCTGCTGATTTATTTGCTGCTTTGTGCCTGTCAGATGCCTTTGAGGTGATTTGGCATCGGGTGAAGCTTGGAGGGCTGCCACTCTTATTTGGACATTGCCAGGGCTGTGTTTTCAGTCTTTCCTGCTCTTATCTAATCTAGATAGCATATTTATCCAGTGAGCTTCAGGTAGCACGGCACCCTGATGGTTTTACAGATAATTTCTCAGATTGCTTGTAAAACATGTGTCTCTTCCCAAACAAACAGGTTAGGACAAAGAAAGACAATGGGAAAATAAAAGATGTGTGAGAGACAGAAAAAAAAAGAAATCTATGGACTATGGCACAATGTCCTGTGATGAGATACAGAAATTTAGAAATAGGTTTCATTTCCTTAGAATCCAAGAAATCAGAAAGCCTATTTGGGATCAGTCATGACGCTCATTGAAGTGGACTAGTTTAGCTACATTATTTTCTATGTTTCTTGTTGTTGAATTTGAATTTGAATGCCAGACTGAATTTTGCATTTTGTAAGTGTTACCAAAGAAACATATCTAGTTGAGTCAGGCGAACCTGAAACCAACCTAATAATACAGGGCTTCCAGTTAAGACTGAGTCAACTAGTCATTCAGGCAACCCTGATCTGGTCTGTTTTCACATCCCTAGTCTAGATCAACAGTCCTCTTTTGAACTTTTGAAGTTTTTGAATGAAACAGATCTCACAGCAAAGTCAATGTGAAAGTCTCCTCTTCTCTTTTCTCTGTCTTTTTTTTTCTTTCTCTCTATCCTGTTTTCCACCAGCTGTGCCCCTCTCTGGGGTGGATTAAATAAGAGCTCCTTTTATCCATCTGTAATCCTGATCTGGCAACCCTAGCCTTCACAGAGAGGAACACACCACCAACTGGCAGCACACTATACTTATAATGTGCACACACACACACGAATAGTACAGGCCATGGACATATGCTGTATATTATAAGACATAGGATGTGCACACACACATAATTCTTTATTTATTTTATTTTGTTTTTGTTTATTTAAAATGGTAAAATATTGAAAAATAGTAAAATATTTAATTTCTTTGATTCAAAACATTCTACAATATTAACATAAAAAATTAACTTAAATGATTTTAGCAAATGGCTGCAATATAACAAAGAGTGAAAAATTGAAGGGGGTCTGAATACTTTCCGTACCCACTGTATATAACCTTGATGCTTGACACATCACTCCTGGTTAGAATATGGCATCACACTCCCAATCTGACCCTGGATCAGCTGTCCCCCCAGTGTGTTGCAGCTGTCCACTGACAGATTGGCATCAAAGTGTTTCTGAAGCAGACCACCATCTCGGGGAGTCTTATCACCGCAAGATAAAACCCTCATTAGACTGAATAATAATTATGTTACACTTCCATGTGCCAGGAAACCATGTTTTCCTGTTTATGTGACACCGTGACATTAGAGAATTAATTAATTGCTGTTTTTGGCAATCAGTGGGTGTGAATGTGTATATGAATGCACCGACAGAAAGCGTCTCGCTTCGCTGCAGCTGATTTCTGGGTGTTTGCAGGAAGTGCTCCGGAGAAGGGCAGGATGTAGAGGAAGTGTTTGGCGTGGCGGATCTGGCAAGCAGGCAGCCGTTAGCATACCCTGCTGACAAGCTCTCTCTCATATACTCCATCCGCCCTCTCGAGTGCCTTTTGGCCTGGAATCCATCACAAGACACTGAAGTGACATCAGGCAAGTGGAGACAGAGAGCTCCTGGAAAACACAGACTGGACATGCTGTTTTTCTCAGCTGTCACCTAATTGAGTAATACATCATCCGTATTCTTTGCAGCCCCCTTTATGAAACTAGCCTGTTGTGAGTCTCGGCGCTTGCGTAACGGGATTAAGTCACGAAATACATGAAGCATATGCATGCTTGTTTTGCTGTTTCTTAGTTCTGTGCTTAGTTTTAATTTGAAGTTTTTATTTAGCAAAATATTTGATAGCGCTTCAACCCTCCAACCCTTCAGGAAAAGATTTACTGTAATGGAATACGGGAAGATTCATGGAGATAAAGCTTTCAGGTTTGAGAAGACCGAGAGATAGGAAGAATTAGGTGAGTAAAGGAAGTGTGAGCTAGATGAAAGTGAGCCAAGAACAGGACAAGGTTAGAGAAAGGGAAATTTAGCAGTCATGGACACAGGAAATATGGCCTTGTCACCCAGGCAAGACTGACAGATGTACCTCCATCGTCTCTTGATGACAGCTGACAGTATGACGGATCAAGGTTCAAGGAGATCCGAGGAGTGGAGAATGGGGCGAGAAGCGAGGAAGAGTACGGAAGCAGAAAATGAGTCTGCTCATAATCATATGGCATCCTTAGGGCCTTGACCTTGTATCTCGCTCGCAATCTCTTTCTCGCTCTCTGTTTTCTGAAGCATTCCCAAAGCACATAAACACACACTAGAGTAGGTGTGTTTGGTTAAACTTCCAAGAAGTCCAGTCTCTGCATTTCCTTTCCAGCAATGTTCTGAACAATCACAAGTACCAAAATAACGTAAACAGTTTTAGGACTCAACTTCTGTGTTCCAGGTTTCTACAGAGGCATTATTTTAAGGCATTGTATTTGCGCTCCCTATGTATAGACTACCAAAAATTTAATTCACTACTTAATTCGAATTGAGTTTCTTTGTGTATAGGCCTATTTAGGCTTATTAGATTATTGTTCTGTTAGTTTTCTTTTAGTTAATCTCTGTTTCGCTACTTGTGTAGAGTATTCAAAATTGGTTACTAATGAGGTTCTGTGATTGTTATTATGCTGCTTTAATAGGTGGTTGTTTATTTAGGCGGTATACAAAGAGGCAGCTCACTAGATTTTGGAACATATTTTGTATGGCCCTGAAATTAAATAATTAATGTGTACTTCAGGAAAGTTTGTTGTAAATATTTAAAATCACAGCCAAAATACCTTATAAAAATAAGAAATATTAAATCCTAAATAGTTAAGTCTCTCTCTGTGCTGATTTGCCCAGTAAAAAATTGCTAAAATGAATTCAAGTGTATTTTTATTGTGATTTTCACAATATAAATGGCTCCAAATCAACTTTGCAGCGAATGTTATGGTGGTTTACAAACCACAATTGAGCAACTAAAAGCAACTGATTTAAAATTGTTAAATAAATAAATACATAAATTTGTATGTATTTTTATAGTGATTTTCACTATATAAATGGCTCCAAATATTCTTTGCCGTTTATATAATGGTATTTTACAAACCACCAGTGAGCAACTAAAAACTAGTACAAAATTGTATACAATTGCTAAAATTGTATTCAAGAAATTGTGTAAATGTATAAAAAGCTATTTTATACAGTGATTTCCCCATATAAACATGGCTCCAAATCAACTTTGCAGTAAATATAAAGGTTTATTACAAACCACCAGTGAGAAAAAAAAAACAGCTAGTCTGTGGCAAGGAAATTTTTTTGTATAGCCTAAGTATTAGATTATCATAAATAGCATCTCTTTTTACTTGAAACGGATCTTTCCTGCTGTCTCCAGAAGCTCAGTTTTGCCATGTGCAGAAAAAAATTGCTTCTAATTATATTCATTTATGGTAAATGATCCACAATCCGCTAATTGGTGACCTCTGCGCTAGATGATAAAGAAGTGCTGTGCACCCATGTGACTGTCTGTCTTTTGTTACTTTCTCAGAATAATCATGCAATGTAAGGTTCAGCAAGTGGGTGAAAAGGTCCCAACAGGGCTCTCTCTCTCTCTCTCTCTCTCTCTCTCTCTCTGGTGTATAGGCTTTTAGCTGCCTGTCTCATGTCTTAATACTTGGAAAGAGGAAATTATCTCTTCACTGACATTTTTTGGCAAATAGCTGCAGACTAAAGCGATGGTAAATGTTCTAACCACTTCCTTCCACTTTCCTTCCCACAGACTGCTCGGGACAGATGACGTCCTCTCCTCTCAGCTCTCCCACATCCCACCGGGGGATGCACCCATCACTGCTGAGCCCGACTTCTTTAGGCCACTCAGGGTCTCTGCACTCCCCTATCAGCACTCTGAGCTCACCCATGAACGGCCTGGGCTCTCCCTTCTCTGTCATCAGCTCACCCATGGGGCCACATTCCATGGCATCACCCGGGATGGGCTACGGCCCCAGCATCAGCCCACAGGTAAGGCCACACTCCGAGACCCTCCTTCAGAGTTGTATTTAAAAAGAAGCGCTCGCATTCAGAAGTCGTATTTGTGCTTCATAATTAAACATTGTTAAAAATCGTTCAATTTAACTCGTCCATTCTGTCTCGTTCGCTCTCTTTCCAGTACTCTCACTAGATCTGTCTTTTGTTCCATAAATAGGCCTGCACATTTATTTGTCATTTTTAAAAAAGGTTCACAAATAAGAAATCAAAGCTGGCAGTGTCCTAGTTTTCTTTGAAAGCCTGATCAACTTGAGTAAAATAGTTTTCAAATTCACACATGTGGGAAAAATTGGAGCATTGTCCTTTTTTCTCATTGATAACTGTACTGAAGTTTTTCTCCAGGCTTTTCACTCATTTTAAATTATAACGTTGTTAAATTTGACGAAGTTAAAGTGGATTTTGAAGTGAATATATTGAATACAAACTGGGGAAAAAAAAAAACATTTTACTTTTTGAGCTTACAGGATTCATTTATCTAGTTAATGTTCATTTCTACTTTAATACATATTATGTATATGTGTGTGTGGGATAACCTAAATTCTATTAAAAAAAAGACACTTTTATCAGAGATTTTCCACCAAAACATTAAATAATCCATCAACACAGGACAGAAAGCATTGTTGAATGATTTCATGGAGTCTTTAAACTTGCTGTTATTTGGTAGCAACAGTTGTCAGAGTTCACCCAGCAATCCAAACACCAAATATATTGGTTTAATACATTAGTTTCCATTTTAGACAGTTTTCAATGAGTCAGTCATGATCATTCATATCTGTATCTGAGGCTTCAATTTTCTGGACTGTACAAATGCTGAAATTTGAGTGCAGGTTTGGTTATTGCATTGACGAACAGTAGTGAGAGGAGCCTAGAGAAACCAGTTTTATCTTTACGCAGCACTGTTTATCTCTCTCTGGGTGGGAGGCAGTCATGGGGTCTGATGGAAGGTGATTTGAGTCAGACGGCATTTGTCACTTATGTTTAGCACTTGGCTGACTGGCTGTTTTCAGGCCCAGCCGGGTGGAATGGGGTTGCTACTCCGTTCATGACCCCTTTAAATACAGAGGGACAGAGAAATCAAATTTCCCTTGATCTTTTGACATATAACAGGTCAGTGTACTGTCAATGTTACATCCTGTAAGTTTCAAAACTTTCTCGTTAGTTTAAAAACATCTTTTATTGAAACCAAGCTCAGAAAACGACTCATTTTGGAATGTGCCACTTTATAACTTAATAGTGTGGCTAAACACCACCTCCGCAGGAGAAGATCAAAGCCTGCTTCTACAGCACTGCCTCTTTAGCCCCGCCCACTGATACACGCTTGTAGTAGTAGGAGAGGAAGTACTAGAGACAAGCAAACACAGGATGTCATACAGATGACATTATAAGATTACAAGACATTGTGTAGTGTAAGTTGTGAAAAATAGTCTTTGAATTGCCTTCTTTGTGATTCTAACATATCTAGATCGGACTCGAGCACTGTTGCGTCATGTCGCAAATCAATTTTTCTTTCAGGTCAGAAGCGGCACGAATGGTTGGAGTATGTCAGAAATAGAGCGGGACATTATTTTCAGAGTACGTCACAGCAGCATCCATCTGTTATTTTAATAAGCAAAACTGTTAGCCAATCATAACAGTGGGCATTTACTTGCGAGTCTTGAATGCGCCCCGTCTATAAAAACAGACCGTTCTGCAGAGAGGCTCAAAAACAGGATAGAAAATAGCCTATTACTTATAAATTATGATGATTTTTTATGTAAAATCAAACTAACATTTTAAGTGAACCTCAGTAAATACTTTCCGTTTCAGTTTAATTTATTTATATAGCACATTTAATAACGACAGAGCCGACCAAAGTGCTGCACAAAGAAACAGAATTAAACTAATATAAATAAAACAAAGAAATAAAAGAAAACAAGTTATAATAAACATTATAAAATTAAAAAAAATGCAGTTCATGACCCATTTACCCTCAGGATCTGGAACAGGCACCCCACTGACACCAACCGACCAGCAACACACTGCAAATCCACAACATGCAACATAAACAAGGAAAGAGTCAAGATCAATCATCATTTTGTTCACTAAATATTCGTTTTGGAGGTTTAACACCGGCTAATGTAACCACTTGCACTTTTTGTGCATTATTTTTACATTGGAATCCTTAAAGTTATTCAACAACGGGCAAGAAAGTTTTATTCACTTATTTATTTTTTACTTTCATAAAGACCAAATTTATGTAAATTAATAACCATTAAGGATTAAAAAAAATATATTTTCACTAAATTAAGCCCTTAATTAATTTATTTGTGTATTAAATCACTTATTTGTATATTAATTTCTGTAGTTATTACTTTATTTCTTTCATTTTTATTGTTATACGTTCTGTTTCTGTGGCACATATATGCTTAAATGCTCTCGTTATAATCTCATATATTTTTGACAGGCCACAATCAACAACCTGATCAACTCTATGCGAAGGAGATGTGTTGCACTGCGTGAGGCAAATGGTGGTCACACCAGAAACTGACTGGTATTCGGACCCCCCCGGACCCCCCAATACAGTAAAATGGCACATTTTAGAGTGGCCTTTTATTGTGGCCAGCCTAAGGCACACCTGTGCAATAATCATGCTGTCTAATCAGCATCTTGATATGCCACACCTGTGAGGTGGATGGATCACTAACACAGATTTAGACAGATTTGTGAACAAAATTTGAGAGAAATAGGCCTTTTGTGTACATAGAATTCAGCTCATGAAAAATGGGGGCAAAAACAAAAGTGTTGCGTTTATAATTTTGTTCAGTGTATATATATATGTTGTAATATGCCGGCACCTCAGGGTTTTGTCTCAGATTTCAAGTGTTGTACCGCCCGTGTCATGGCACCTACTGAGTATAAAACAATAGGTTTTTGTTTTGTCTGGTTTAGTGTGTCTGTGTTTAGTCTGTGTACAGTTTCACATAACAGCATCCACCTCTCTAAAACAGCATTCAGCTGGAATACATTTACAATACACATTTGTTTGAGTTGGACTGTGGCTTTCATGGATTATCTCTCTTTTCTTTTGAAATGTTCGGACTGGCCACACTTGGGGAGGTTGGTTTTGACAGAGACGACCTACAGTGATAGATGCAGTGACTCAGTCTTGCACATACTCATATGCAACATATGCAGTATATGCAAATGCTGTCAGCTGCATGTAGACCTCAATCCCACCCATGGGCATCGCTAAGCGATTTTTAGGGAGGCTTTAGCCCCCCCCCCCATTTCTACTCAGCTCCCCCTAAACATTTTGCAATTTGCTCCATAAACTGTACACAAATTCATGATCGGCTCCTCCCAGTCTTTCAGAGCATTCTTCAATCCACTGACCGCGGTGGCGCAGAGTGAGAAACAGAGGACAAGGTGTGTGTTTATCGATAGATTGTTATAATATCTGCATCTGTGCAGTTCTTTGTCATAAAAACAGTTTACAAAATGTCATGGGGGAGCAATCGGTTTCCCATCTACAGTAAAGTTTTCGCTGTGTTCACCCCTCATCACACCACAGCTGTTTCCTCCATATGAGCACATATGAACGCATACTTTATAAAATGTTGCTATTTTCATTTGAAAATGTAACTTTCAATATAAAACATATTACAGTGCATGTGGCATTAACTACCATACAGTCATGCACAGAAATTATTGAAGACAGTGACAGACAGTATTTGAGCATAGGAAGAGGTTTGTATACTTGAGCTAATGAAAGAGGTTTGTACTAGAAATGACAGACCTACTTGACCATAGAAAGAGGTTTGTTTAGAAATGCAAACAGTACAATTTCGTGTTTGTACAGTAAACCGGTGTGTGTGTGTGTGTGTGTGTGTGTGTGTGTGTGTGTGTGTGTTTGTGATCAGGAAGACTTGTATTTGGCTTATTCAGTACTAAAATATTATACCCATCTAACTTATTCAATAGAATGAAGTACTGCAATATGTTTAGTATACCACCCTAACCTATTAGTCAAACATTATTTTATTATATTTTATTTATTTATTATTATTTTTTATTATTATACCCTCATTGGGGGCTGAGTCCCCCTAAAATGAAAATCCTAGAATCGCCCCTGATCTCACCAGCCCCGGCACAGCACGGACTCTGCCGTCTCCCAGCAGCTGGCACACATTAGGCAGAACATGGTTCGGTTTACACTTCCAGTGACAATCACCGCAGATATGCCACTCTGTCAGCCCAGAAGAATCCCTGAACATTTGCTAGCTCTCGATCCAGCCTAAATATTTTCTAAAGGTTCAGTGTATACTGAACTGAAAGACTGGAAGTTGTTACTGGAAGCTCATTATCCGTGTTGAGGAAACAATTTTCAAACTACCGTTATTTTAAAGTATAGTCAAACTATACTTTTGGAAAAGTAGTTAGGTATACTATAGGGGTGGAACGGTTCAACTTACTCACGGTTCGGTTTGTATCACGGTTTTAGAGTCACAGTTTCGGTTTGGTTCGGTATGTGCTATGTTTAGGCAAAAACGATACTGTCAAATAAAAATAAAGAAAATAAGAATAATCTATCTAACTACAAGCAACAGCACAATAGAGTAAATACAATAGAGTAAAGATACAAATAAAATAAACAGTGATTTTCAGGGTTTTTTAGGTAGGTCTAACATTAGTTTTCAGGTACAGAAATTGAATAAAGTAATGAAATGTAAAACAGCATTGCATATTTGACTGTATAAATTAAAGATTAATCTTTATTAAAGTTACAAAAGCAATTCAATCAAGAGCAGTGTGATTTCTTTGTTGTTGCTGTTTGATTAATTTTAAGAAAGTGCTGTCACTTTAAGAAAATGCACTTTAAGATACGGTACATTCAGCCGGCTATGTCTGCTATAGGATACTTACTTACCAAGACGGACATTTTTACATCATTTTTGTGTGAATTTGTCCATTTAAACACAACACTTCAGAGAAAG